TATATATACATACACACACTAGGGCTGGGCGATATGAGCAAAAATTAATATCTCGTTTTTTTCTGGCTGATTTGTGGTATACGATATATATCTAGGTATTTTCTGTGCTTTTGTATTTGGATTAAACAAATAAAGTGAATGTAACCATGTAGGCATATATTATGTGCAAAAGGGTTAAAATCACATTACATTCTAACATTGTAACATTGCAATCTAAAAACAAAAACAATGCTTTAGTTAAAATTACTAAACTAAAATGAAAATATTAAAGGGGTCCTATTATGCTTTTTCACTTTTTCAACTTTAGTTAGTCTGTAATGTTGCTGTTTGAGCATAAAAAAGATCTGCAAAGTTACAAAGCTCAAAGTTCGATTCGAAAGGAGATATTTTATTTAACAGAAATCCCTTTTCAAAAATCATACATCCAAGAATCATTTCATGCATGCATTTAAAAAAAAAAATCTGTATTGGTTGTGCTTGGACATTTTACCGTACATGCAGATGTTGACTTATTTTTACATTTACGTTGCCTTGTCTTTACGTAATGTTCACTTAAGGTTAATCTTTAATAAAATAAATGATTGAATAATTCTGTTAAATGCAGCCTTTATCAGATCTTAAAGAATGAAGGAATATCTATTTTTCATACTGTACATTATTACATTGTGATGCCTACATTTACTTGCAGCATTTAAAAATACACTTTTTTCTACTGTGCTTTATTTTTAATAACAAAAAAAAGTCGCTTTAACAGTATAGGCCAGCATTTTTATATTGGCGCATCCATAGAAATAAGACCATAAAATGTTCTTTGTTTAGTAAGATTCAGAAAGATGACGTTTTTGGGGAAGTCACCCTAAGAGTGGCTTACATATAGCTGTGTCTGCATATTAAACTGGGATAGGAGAAAGTATTGTAACATGAAAAAATGACACATTTCACCTTTAATGTAAGTGTCCTTAGAGCCCATATCTGCAGAGATTCGTCTGCAGTCTGGGCGAAGGCCAGTCCAGTGATGTGTGTGTGTGTGTGTGTGTGTGTGTGTGTGAGAATAGAACAGCTGATATGTCAGCAATATAGAGAAATGCATCTGGGACGTGATCTATAGAATGAAGGAGTTATGGGACGAGGTGGCATTGTGATTTTCAGTCTGTGCAGTCATTTTCTCTGTGTCTCATTATATTGAATTATTGAACAAACCTTCAAACACACATCCCATCAACACAACGGCAGGCCTCTTTTCAATTACTGCTTTTTGTCCTGAAGATATTGACCTCCTAGCACTCTTCATTGACTTTTAGTATGAGGCACACCTCTAGAGATAAATACACATTGACAATGTTGGTTCCCATGTGTAATGGTGAGTAAAATAGATTTTTACAGTTTTTTGAAGAAAATATGTGAGGGATTTGCCTAAGCAAAACTCACTACCATGTCAGAGTGTTGCTATGCAGGTGCCTATGTGTTCAGAGTGATTTTTAACACATTGCTATGTGGTTGCTAGCTGGACCACACCAGAAGTGCATCTAAAAATGGTTTATATTGCTTTTTTTAGAGTAATCTGTGGGGTTTTTGTTATATCGTCCAGCAGAAATTGTAGGTCTGATTGCTTAAAAAGAATTGTAAGAGGACGCATGACAAATATTGTACACAGTTTGCTAGATTAAGCATATTAGAATGATTTCTGAAGGATCATGTGACACTTACGACTGAAAATCATATTTGCATCAAAGGAATAAATACATTTTATAAAATAGAAAACAGTTCTTTTAAATTGTAATAATACTTCACAATATTACGCTTTTTGCTGTATTTTCATCTAATATATGCAGCCTTGGTGAGCACAATAATTTTTTCAAAAACATAATTATTTATTTTTTGCTTATTTCAACCGGCAGAGTACACTATTACTGGTGTATACTTTTCAGTGTGTCTTATCTGCATGCTCTCTTCTGATTGGCAGAGCATATGCAGAGGCGGGGTCTTCAGTCAAGCATGAGGAGCAGATGAAGGAGGAGGAGCCTCTGAAGGATGTGGTAGAGGAGGCGGAGTCAGACGGCGCTCTCGAGTCGAGTAGCGGGGAGGAGGAAGATGAGGCAGGCACAGAAGGGAAGAAAAAGAAACAAAGAGTTGGCTTCCGTGACCGCAAGGTGATCAATGCACAACATGCACATTATCTCAATCGCATCATGATGAGGTCAGGTTCATCCAGCCAATATCTGATGCATTCCTCTGGCTTCACCATGTGCAGACGAAATGTGAACCCATCACATCTAATCGACATGCAAATCCACAGTCATGAAATCAACCTGCATATTTCTGAATTGGGTTTCATCTGATGTGCCATGAGTGGGAACGTGACAGAGCGACAATAACAGAGTTAATGAATTGCAGCTGACATTAACTGTGGGGAAAATGTGATATTAAAGCAGCATCTGGGACAGGCAAGTGTGGGACTTGCTGATTAAAGGGAAAGAGCAGAAAGGATGAGAGAAATAAGAAAATGAATGACGCTGTTGTTTTGCGCTGTAGTTGATTTGTTCCTTTTAAATGGGGCACATAAAAAAAGGCCTTTTCCTTATATACTTTGTTCTAAGTAAGCAGAGCGACAATAACAGAGTTAATGAATTGCAGCTAACATTAACTGTGGGGAAAATGTGATATTAAAGCAGCATCTGGGACAGGCAAGTGTGGGACTTGCTGATTAAAGGGAAAGAGCAGAAAGGATGAGAGAAATAAGAAAATGAATGACGCTGTTGTTTTGCGCGGTAGTTGATTTGTTCCTTTTAAATGGGGCACATAAAAAAAGGCCTTTTCCTTATATACTTTGTTCTAAGTAATAATACATTTCACAACCAATGTGAAGGAATGCAAAACAATTTATCTTCATATTTTTCAGCCTTTTGACCGCTTCCTATTTTGATATTTGCTGAACCACTTTTTAAAATTATTTTGATAAACCACTATTTCAACCAAACAGTATCCGAACAGTTGCTGTATTTAAAAGTGCTGTAGCGTCTCGACCAATCTGACACACTAATTTTAATTTGATTTAACAAATCAATTATTCATTAGGTTAACAAATCGTCACAGTCCCCTACAGTAAGAAAGTTATTTCCCTTAACCAGGAAATTAACGTTCTTAGAATTGACAAGACAGTTGACCCTGAGTGGTCAGCTAAATATCTACAGTGGATCTAAAATATGAATAATTAATTATAACTAGTTATGGTTAATTATTCATATTTCCCCATGAGCTAATCCGCTACAGTGCTTCAAAAATAAATAAGTGAAAATGAAATGAAATAGTTATAGTTAAATAGTTAAAATTATGCAGAGTACCAATGAGGTTTGTTCTCGCAAGCACATTCGAGCTTCTGCAAGAACCAATTAGGCTTGGTCTTGCATGTCAAGCAAGTATGGTTGAGCTTCCATTTACCATATTTGGGGCCAGATTTACTAAGCAGGGCAAATTAGCGTTAGAGCGCAATTCTATAAAAGTGCCGATGGGAGGGGAAAAGTCTGCGGGTGATTTACTGACAAATGCGCACATTTAAAGAACACAGACGCAGCCAGATCATTTCCGTAATGGCCAGCGCAAATTACCACCTGCTTTAAAGGGTTAGTTCACCCAAAAATGACAAACACAAAGTTTATTTGATGAAAGTATTCAAATGAATCACGCAACATGATTTACTAACGTTTGCGTTCGTCAAATTACTGGTATTCGCGCCATTATTTAATGGCCAAAAAAGCATGTCTTAAAGGGTTAGTTCACCAAAAAATGAAAATTAGCCCATGTTTTACTCACCCTCAAAGCAGCCTAGGTGTATATGACTTTCTTCTTTCAGACTGATCCAATCAGAGTTATATTAAAAAGTATCCTGGCTCTTCCAACCGTTAGAATGGGAGTAGGTGGGTGTTTTTGTTCAACAGTCCAAAAGTAGCCAAATAAAGCGCGTGCATCCGTAATAAAACATGCCTCGCATGGCTCTGGGGCATGAATAAAGACCTCCTATAGTGAATCGATGCATTTTTGTAAGAAAAATATCCATATTTTAAATGTTATAAACACTTTTTTCCTCACTTCTGCTGACTGTTGAATATGCAAGCCATTCCGGTGGATGACGGAGGACGTATGCGTCGCACACGCGCCGGTGATATGTGATGAATGCGGAAGCGTGGAGGAGAGAGAGCAAAACAAAACGTCGTCACGATTTAGAAGCACAAAATGAGGATTTGTAAAGAAAAATGTCAGAGGATTTCGATTATAAGCCAAGAAGAGACTGGTTTTCCTTTGCTAAAGTAAGGAAACTTTGCTTCCTTTGCTCCTATAAACAAACTCACGAGACTAGCATATCTCAAGAGGCATGCGTGTGACGCATACGTCCTACGTCATCCGCCAGAACGGCTTCCTCGTACAACAGATAGCGGACATGAGAGAAAGGTATTAATAACATTTTAAATATAGATATGTATCTTACAAAAACGTTCCGATTCGCTACTGGAAGCCTTTATTCACCCCCCGGAGGCGTGTGGAGGCATGTTTTATTACGGATGCGCGTGCTTTATTTGGCTACTTTTAGACTGTTGAACAAAAACACCCACCTACTCCCATTCTAACACTTGGAAGAGCAAGGATAATTTTAAATATAACTCCGAGTGGATTTGTCTGAAAGAAGAAAGTCATATACACCTAGGCTGCTTTGAGGGTGAGTAAAACATGGGCTAATTTAAATTTTTGGGTGAACTAACCCTTTAAGACATGCTTTTTTTGGCCATTAAATAATGGTGCGAATACCAGTAATTTGACGAGTGCAAAGGTTAGTAAATCGTGTTGCGTGATTCATTTTAATACTTTCCTCCCATAAACTTTTTGTCTGAAAGGGAAACTCCTACATATGCATATTCAATAAGGTCAGGTGCAAAAATAACTGTCCATGCCTATTCAGTGCTAATTCTTCACTGCATGTTTTTAGTAAATCCTGACAGTACTATTTTAACGCCGAAAGACGGTTTGTGCTGGCGCCCAATCAATGTTTAATTGAGTTTAAAAAAATATCTGTTCATCATATGAAGCAATCATGTCTCTTTAGAAGACTTGGATTGGACCACTCGATTCATATAGATTATGTTTATCCTTTTTAAACTTTTCGAAGCATGAAAGGGAATTGACTTACAATGGACCAACAGGTGTCATAAAAAATGTAAAATTGTTATATGTGTTACAAAGATGAACGAACTAAAGTATTATGGGTTTCAAATGAAACAAGGGTGAGAAAATGATTACAAAAAATATATATATTTCTTTAAAGGTGCAGTAGCCAAAAAAGTGTGTTTATAGAACTAATAGAAATTCAATAAAATTTTGGCTTTTGAGTGTAGAACATATTTCCTCGAAACTGAAGCTCTACTGTTGGACGCTGTCACAGTCAAAGAGGAATTCCCCCTCGAACAATCAGAACTGTCTGTCCAGTAGCGCCACTGTTATTTGTGTTTGCTAAACATTTTGTAGATTCGTGTTGTTTATTTTGATTTTGCTGTACGGGGTAAAGCACTGTGTAGGCCGAGCCTATTTATGGATGATGGTTGCTCACTGATTGAATTTCATGACATTGTTACTTAGGCGATGTCTTGTGGTTGTTTTTGTGTATGCGTTCTTTGAAAAAGGACAGAATTTATCAGGATGATTTATTTTTGCTACTCTGTGTCCTAAAATAGCAAGACGCTGCAGATGGCAGTGGTTCAGACCTTTTTGTTTAGAACCTAATCATCACATTTTATCATAAGCTGAGAAACAGGAAGGGAATGTAGGTATTCTCTGAAATATGGATGCAGTATTAAAATAAACAGCATACATCAAATCAGCAGCACATTAAGAGTGAAGATGATTCGCTGTAGGATGGTGGGGCTCTGCCTTTGATGGATGAGGCCATTCATCATGCAGTGGGGTACATTAGGCAGCTGTCTCTGTTTACACAAGCACTGCCCTCCAGGCCACGTCTTCAACCAATAGGGCTCATTCATAAAACACAAACAGAACCAATTTCTGGGTAACATTTGAAGACTCTGTGGTATAACCTTATAACATACAGTTGTAACCATATTTGGGGAGCTACTAAAAATAGCAAATGTAATGTTCATAGATTAAAGTTGGGGTAAGCGATTTCTGGTAGCCAATGTTGACATTTGAAATCACCAAAACACACACGCCCCTACCTCAAAAGGGTCTTGCCCCACACATACGTACGCAACCCAGGCAACGATTAGTTCTGTGAAACAAAGCAAAGCCAATGTTACACCGTGTCTACACCGGACGCGAGTGGCGCTGCGTGACAAATTACTCTAGAACTCATTATAATCAGTGATGCTGTCTACACTGGATGCGGCGCGACACAACAAATCCCCGACAGAAAACTGCTGCTGCGTTCTATTCATGACGTATTGACACAAATTTCAAACGCTTTGTACTTGAACACTTGTACTTGTATTTTTCCAGTTTACTAGACAGACTTTATCTGTTGCGGCCCAGACACAGTGTTACTCATCTATTGAGAAGAAACAAAGCAACCTCGGCGTCCGATTGCAGGCCTTCCGCTCCTTGAGTTCTCTCCAGCGCTGGAAAGCTGATCCGATATTTACACGGGTCCTACTTATTGCCTAAACCTTCTTTTGTTCCGCAGACGTTTTCCTCTTTTGTTTTTTATCCGCCATCTCTATCTTTCTATCACTCGGCTCGGCTAATGTTTGTCCTGTGCACTGAACTCTCTCTCCTCCACATCATGAGTAGACACGCCCCTTACTGCTGATTGGCTACAAGTTTGTTTTGCTAGTAGGCCCGAATCAGTTTTCTAAAGCTTTTTTGAAAAATCGCTTACCCCACCTTTAACTACCTAATCCAAAATTATCCGAAATGGGCATCACCACATGCCATGGATATTCCATTCTTTAGGCCTTTATTTACATCTACGTCTGTATTAGGGCTGTGCAATATATCGAAATATCGCAATATGCATATCGCTACAGCTTGCAATATTTGGGGCCATGAACAAAAGACAGAGAAAATCACTCACTGCTCTTACCTAAATAACTTTTGTAGCTTAAATACGAATCAGTGCATATTGAATTCGAAGAGTAAATTCTAAGCAGTG